GATCTGCTTCGAGGCACTTTTCTTTAGTGGATTCAGACACCAGTAATCATATTGCGTATATAGTCGTTTTTTAACCCTCTTAAACCATTAACAATGGTCTGCAGTATTTATAAATGTAAACAGCCAAATTGTTCTTTCTCCGTGGAGGGAGAAATGCAATGTGGTGAATGCAAAAGTGGTTTCAAAAGATATGTACTCGTTTAAGCCCCACCTCATACAGAAATGCTCGAAGCCCAACTCGCATTGGTTTTGTATGTTTTACTGTTCGAATAAGATATTATTGATCCAGAAGTCTCATCGCCTCCTGACTGTGCCTACAAGAAGATAGATGGTGCCTGAGCTGGTAATACGAGTACCGACAACAAACAATATGTCAATGTAGTACCTGCTGCTGTGGGACGTGCCAAACACCTAAATATGAATCATGGGAAAGTAAAATCTATTGCAACTAAAGAGATAACCCACTAATCTTATGGATGCTGATCTACTAAGGCCGATCATAGGAAGCTCAAAGTCGGTCATAAAGTCTTGTGAGTTACTCAATATTTTATTTTTATTACTCTAAAAATTTTACAATTTTATACTCTTTCATATCCTTTGATTTGCTGTTAGTCCTTACTATCTTTAAACCACATATAATCTGGCCTGTGTATTTAACTTTCATTATTAGTTATCTTCATAGCAGTGTGATATACTAAATGGACATCCAACCCATAATACAAACCCCTTAACTATCTGAATTGCTCGTAACATGGAACTAGTAGAGACAGTGTATTCCTAACATGGGCTTTGATTAAAGCAGTATGCGTAATTACCACAAACGTAAGAGAGCCTAACATCATAAAAGGAGAGAAGGTGGAGTTACTGACCAGTAAACCTGATGGTGGGGAGATAACTTCAATCCACCCATGTCTGTAGGGCAGAACATTTTGTAAAATTACGAGTCCTTATGGTCTGATGGAATGTCACGAACTAATGGTTTTGATGCTGATTTATCATGCTAAACACTTGATTAAATCGTGTTTAGAATGTTGAATTGGTTTCACTTCCTAACCGGTAATCCTATTACAAGCAAACTAGACAATTCTCTAAAAAACGAAGCTTACTCAAGACCCTATAAAATCTAAAAAGGCTCCAATAGCGTCGAAAAAAATGGGAGACAGCCATTTGTATAACATAATATTGTTTCCAGCACTATATTTTAAAACTACACATAATCCTATGCTTTCAGCTTCTTTTCTAACTACCTCCATTTATGCAGTTCTCTATCCACTCATACCTTATTTACGCCTATTTTCTTCAACATATTACAATGGTCTTTCTTGAAAAGTACCTTAATAAAAGAGAATTAGACTAGGCAGTCATACCTTAACTATTACTTCATAAATAACGGAACTTTGATAAGCATGAATATTGTATGCTATATATTGTCTGCACTATATTTTATAACTACACATATTCTTTCTGAACCACCTCCATTTATCGGTTGTTTATGCACTCATACCTTGTCTACACTTATTTTCTCCTGCTTAATAAATACTTTAATAAAAGAGAATGAGACTGAGTAGTCATACCTTAACTATTTCTGCATGAACATTGTCTTCTCTGCTTCTCGTCCTTTTTTGTTTTCTTTTTTTTCTTGCACCATTTTTAAGCCCCCTTGAGATACGGAACGGGTGACCTCGTCCTACACCATTCTTAAAGCCTCAAATATTCCAAAGGGATATAAGATTGCGATTTCTAGAAGCCCTCAACTGCACATGAATCTATTATCGACCGTCAGTTGCGCGTCGCAACTCAACGTTCATGAAACCCGCCAACTGTGATACTGACCAAAACCATCTACATTCATATCTTATAAATTACCAACCCAGCTGAGTAATATACTACAGTTAGAAATTGTATCATTCGTAACAATTTGATCTTGTCTGTAAACTGACATGCCTCATGTAACAAACTGTTATTTGAGAATAAATTATTATTATTGGTAGGACCTCTTCTCTTCTGGATTTATATAAATGATCTTCCTCAACAAGTATCGTCAGTCTTATTACTTTCGCCGATGACGTAAAACTTTGGAGAGAGATGCGCAACCAAGAGGACATACAGGCACTTCAGGAGGATCTGACTCGACTTCAAAGTTGTGCAGACGACAACGGACTTGCCTTTAACACTTCAAAGTGTAAAGTAGTCCATCTGCGACATGTCGCAGACTACAGTTAAAAATTAGGAAACTCCTCTCTAGTATTATCCCGAGCCGAAAAAGATTTAGGGTCCTGGTGCCCCACGACAGAAATGCTTTTCGAGCAAACCTTGCACTGGTAACATTGAGGCGCATTTTTTTGGTCAGTTTGACGGAAGAAATTTCCACATTATCTTCAACAGTTTTATTTGTCCTTATTTAGAGTACGGAAACATAGTATTCCCTCCTACACTCCAAAAGGATAAGGACACTCTGGAGCGTATCCAACGGCGAGCCACAAAATTAGTTCGGGTACTCAAATTTAAATCTTATGAAGAGGACCTCCAATCACTTGACCTTTACCCATTAGAGTATAGGCGTCTTAGAGGTGACCTTCTAATGGCTTGTAGTATCCTTAACACTTCTGGAAATCCTCTTAAACACCTACTTAAGCTTAGTCCCAATACTAACCCAAGGGGTAACACCCAGAAATTAGAGATGTAATATAGCAGAACGGACTGAGGGCACAAATTCTACTCCTTAAGAGTTGTCAAATGCTGGAATTCTCTGCCGACTGAGCTAGTCCAAGCGACTTGCCAGGAGTCCTCTAAGAGGCGATTTGATCTATTCTTAAGGACTAAGGATAGTATCTTACTATGATTTACCAATTTCTTTTTTCTGTTTTATCGTTAATATACCTAGGTTCCTGCCTGGAGGTATTGGTGATTCCCTGCTACTAGACACGGAAGCCTGTTAAGCGGAAGCTTCTTCTATTCCGTCTACAACCATTTGAACCATTTGTGTTGCGTAAAATAATGCTCTAGTTGAACAAACCACAACTCAGGATCACTACGATCAAATTCTGGAAGCCGGAATTTCGTAGTCATAATAGTGTCTATCTCCACTGGTGACAAATCCTCCAGGTTTTGGGTTTGTATTAAGCATGACATTAGGTGTATGACCAATATAGTAATATACTTGGCACGAAAAATGGTTACTGTAGCACGAATACCTTAAGATAATGAATAAAACTATGTATAAATATATATACCAAACTTAGTTAGCGGATAATCAGAAAGTCTACTTTTACGACTAAGTAAAACAAAGAGATAAAATTAGTAAACAAAGATGAAATCAAATTTGTGTTTCACAGTGCTCACCAGTTTCGTGCCTACAGGTAACCCTCGTGTTATTGGTAGAAGAAACCAGACTAGTAAGTAATAGGTCTTTATTTTCATCTTCCCGCAGTCACAGTGGAGCATGTGATTCCTTGTTTAGACAAACAAAGCCTCTCAACATTCAATGTAATATAATTAGAAATATAACGCCTATACAAAATAAGGAAGTGAATGAATACTTGAACTATTCTGTATTGACATATGCTTAATTGCTTGAGGTCAACTCTTATCGAATGGACCTAAGCTGTTAAAGATCTTCTATGTGTTTCTGCTTGTCGGCTGTTATGTCCCACTATATTTTCTCGTTTGTTTCTATTGGTTCGAAATGACCTTCTTTATTCTTGTCCGATTATTGTTAATTCATGTCTTCTCGACCCTTCTTTCTTGAATCCTGCCACAGTAATGAACCAGCAACAACAGTGACGCCTCTAACCGTCTGACTGAACAGTATTCTCGGACATTACTACCGACCCACGCCAACTATGTTGATGAAAGTTTCATCTGCAACTCAACAGGACGCTCAGAAGTGAACTTCAGTCCTGACTTGGCGTACAAGAAACTGCATCACCTAGACAAGGAATTTTTTCCTGGTCCAGATATGGTTCATTCTACTTCACTGAGAGAAGCAGCTTTCGTCTTGGCGACAACGTTTGGCGTGATCTTCTCACATTCACTAAGCCGAGGTAAATCATCAGAAAATTGGAAACAGGCTCACATCACACCAATTTTCAAAGGAGGTTGACTCAGCGAACCTTTGAGCTAGCGACCAGTGGCTCTTCTCTCCATACCTTTAAAAATTACGGAGTCCCTGATACGCGACGGTATACACGGCTATTTGCTATCCTTAAGATTGACACCATTTGCCCTGACCACTTAAAAGCTTTCTATAAGGTCAACCATATGTGTCTTATCAATAAGCCTAAACGATCAGGTATCTAATCACTTTTAATTGGTTGTCTCACTTTATACCAAGAAAATCAACATTTAAAAGTCGAGGTTAACTTCGTCTTCCCCTCAGGCTAGGGAATGTCCTAGTGGGGTCCCCCAGAGCCCAGTACTAGGACCTCTTCTTTTCTTGATTTATATAAACAATATTCCACAGCAAGTATCGTCAGACGTATTACTTCTCGCTGACGATGAAAACCTCTGGAGAGGAGCATTCAACCAAGATGAGGAACTGGCACTTTAAAAGAATTTGACTCAACTTAATAGTTGGGCAGATAACAACGGACTAACATTCAACATTTCGAAGTGTAAAGTAGTCCATCTGAGATATGTTGTAGACTACAACTTAAGTCCTGGATTTTAGCGCGAAATTCATCCACGCATTTGGCTAAATACTATTTCAACATCATAGCTGATGTCAGCTCGTGATGAAAACAATAAATCTAGTCCCTAACCCTAATTATCAACTACGAATCACAATCGTAATTCCTTACATTGCTTTGTAACCTTCATTTAGACATTGTTAGTAAGTGGATATTTTCAAGGTCACTTAGGAGTTGCCCTCAAGGTCGTCCGTAAGTTACAGTCTCATCACTTATTGAAATCAACACTTGTCGGTATGAGACAGACATTCTTTTGGGAATATAACTGTTATATTTGGTTTTTCGGCATTGAACGTCTTTTACTTTTCAGTCATGAGTAGTATCTATGTTACCGAACCAGCAACTCATGGTAAAGTTATTCTAAAGACCACAGTTGGGGAAATAGAAATTGAGTTATGGTCCAAAGAAACCCCTAAAGCATGCAGAAATTTTGTCCAGCTGTGTATGGAGGGCTACTATAATGACACATCATTTCATCGGCTTGTTCGTGGTTTCATCGTTCAAGGTGGAGATCCGACAGGTACTGGAGAAGGTGGCGAAAGTATATACGGACAACCCTTTAAGGTTGGTCAAAAGTATTTTACTTATTCTTTATGTATCTTCCGATTTTGTGGTGGTTTTTGTCATAGCTTCTAGTTCGTTTTCTCTTGTAACAGGACTACCGGATCTCTATGTTTGTTCGATTCCATCATTACTTACTTACTTATGCCTGTACTCCCAATGGATCACAGGCCACTGACCAACATTCTCAAACCCACACTGTCCTGGGCCTTCCTTTCCAGTTGTGTCCAATTTCTGTTCATTTTTCTCATGTCTGTCTCCATTTCTCGGCGTAATGTGTTCTTTGGTCTTTCTCTCCTCCTTTGGCCTTGAGGATCCCATGTGAGGGCTTGTCTTGTGACGCAGTTGGGTGCTTTCCTCAATGTGTGTCCAATCCACTTCCAGCGCTTCTTCCTGATTTCTTCCTCCACTGGGATCTGGTTTGTTCTCTCCCGCAGTAGGTTGTTGCTGGTAGTGTCTGGCCAACGGATCCGAAGTATTTTGCGTAGACAACTGTTAATAAACACCTGTATCTTTTGGATGATGGATTTCGTAGTTTCCCAGGTTTCCGTCCCATACAGTAGGTCTGTCTTGACATTTGTGTTGAAAATTCTGACTTTGGTGTTGGTTGACAATTGTTTTGAGTTCCAGATGTTTTTCAGTTGTAAATATGCTGCTCTTGCTTTTCTGATCTGTGCCTTCACATCTGCATCAGATCCACCGTGTTCATCGATGATACTGCCCAAATATGTAAAGGATTTTACATCTTCTAAATCTTCTCCGTCAATTGTGATTGGATTGTTATATGCTGTGTTGTATCGAAGAATCTTGCTTTTCCCTTTGTGTATATTGAGACCTATTGCTGCTGAGGCTGCAGCTACACTGGTTGTCTTCTTCTGCATTTGTTGTTGCGTATGCGATAGAAGAGCCAGATCATCTGCGAAGTCTAGATCATCCAATTGCATCCTAGCTGTCCACTGTATCCCGTGCTTCCCTTCAGATGTTGATGTCTTCATGGTCCAGTCGATCACCAGGAGAAAGAGAAAGGGTGAGAGTAAGCAACCTTGCCTGACACCGGTCTTTACTTCGAACGACTTTGTCAACTGTCCTCCATGCACGATTTTGCAGTTTAATCCATCATAGGAATTCTGTATGATATTGACTATCTTCTGAGGCACGCCGTAGTGTCGAAGAAGCTTCCATAGGGTTGTTCTGTCCACGCTATCAAATGCTTTTTCGTAGTCAATGAAGTTGATATAGAGTGATGAATTCCATTTAATTGATTGTTCCACAATGATCCGTAGAGTTGCGATTTGGTCTGTCCACGATCTATCCTGCCTGTTGGTCTCGAAGTTGTGCGTCTACGGAGTCCTTCATCCTGTTTAACAATAACCTGTTAAAGACTTTTCCTGGTATTGAAAGAAGAGTGATTCCCCTGTAGTTTTCACAGTTGCTGAGATCGCCTTTCTTTGGTATTTTGACTAGAAGTCCTTCTTTCCAGTCTTTTGGTACCTGTTCCTCATCCCAGATCTTTCTGAAGAGAGTTTGAAGTATCCTTGCAGTTGCCGCTACGTCCGCCTGGAGTCCCTTTCCGGGGGCTACTGCCTGTCCCAAGCCCGGATAAAGAAGGAGGGTTGGGCATGGGGTTAGCGACCCCATCCCGTAGAAAACTAACTCGCTAAAAAAAACGCTAACCAGATTCCACCATTAAAAGACACAAACTTCAGCAAAATCCCCTCTTGACAAACTTGTAATCAACAAGGTCACAGAATAGTAATTCATATATATTCTTCAGAGTTAAATTCTCAAAGTAAATATGAACAGTAAATAATTGTGGCAACGTAATACCAATTGTAATACTAAGTTGTAGTGTTAATGATGACGATATAAAATTACCCGAATAAAGGTTGTTAAACTAACATGCAACTACAAATTGAGCCAGGCCATCGAAATAGGCTTTTTTTGTTATTATTTAAATTAACCTTCAGACAGACAACTAACCATATTTGTTTGACTTTGAATTCTTTCTAAAGATGATTTCTTTGAAGTCACATCCTATTTCATTATGTTGGTAACCAACTTACAGTCCCTTATGGTTATAAACTTATTTAACAATTTATTGAGTTTAACTAGTAGAGTCCTCATGTTTTAAATCTCTTGTTCTTATATTGTTCAGACGGAAATTCATTCAAGACTATCCTTCAATCGTCGTGGTCTTGTTGGGATGGCATGCCTTGAAGAAAACATGAACGGGAGTCAGTTTTTCTTCACTCTAGGGCCGGCTACAGAACTTACAGGAAAACACACATTATTTGGTCGTGTGGCTGGTGAAACTCTATTCAATATGCTGCGGCTCGGTGAAGGAGATGTAAGCCGAAATGAACGACCGTTGAGGCTTCATCGGATTGTTAGCACATGTGTAAGCCATTATATATATATATCAGATACTTCACTGTACGATTTGATTAATGATATCCATTTTTCTCAGTTCACCTACTCTTATGATGTTGCTTTTATGATCAAAGAAACTGTTTGCTGTGGCATATTCATATATTTATCGGTTTGTATATGTTGTACGTATATTTGTGAATGCTATTTACATCCAGATTAGCATCACAACTCTAACGATGGTCCAGATTAACGTAAACCGCTCTAGCTTTTATTATATGTAGATTGATTTCATCACTCACTCTACTGGTAGAACTCACAGCTGTGGAAATAATAGTGACATCTATTAGTGGTTTGGACCAAAGAGTTATGAAAAACCAGTGGATTTCTTCTAAGTCTATTGCACTGCTAGATTCTCTTAAACGCATCCCATCAGGCTCTGAACGCGTAAATAAATCAGGTCTAGGCTAACTAAAAATCTAAAGAACGACCGTAAGCAGTGGTGAGCAACGAAAGCAAAAGAGATGGAAAAGGCAGCTGCTGTAAGTAACACAAAACAGCTTTTCAGACTAATAAAAGAAACTGAATTATTTTTAGCGAGTTAGTTTTCTACAGGATGGGGTCGCTAATCCCATGCTCAACCCTCTTCCTTTACTCGGGCTTGGGACCGGCAGTAACTCTAGAAGAGCTACAGGTATAGTTAAGTAAAAGAAACTGGAATTAAGAAATCAAATGTACGTGAGACGATCTCAGGAAAAGCCAACACTATTATCTGCTCTCAGCCCAGACGTTTAAAACACTGCAAGGAGCAGTTCAACCGGCCTTCAGCTACCTTACGGTTTTCCTCATTCCCTAACAGTCTGAATGGAACATTAAATTTCGCCCCCTGACTCTTATTGAAGCCCAATATGCAATAGCTAATCTGAAACAAGGAAGAGCAGCTGGTCCAGATGGATCGGTTGCAGAGGTCTTTATGTATGGTGGTCCAATTTTAGCGATTAGGCTGACTAATATTTTGGCTAAAATCTGGATATAATCTGAATATAATCCCATCTGACTGGTCGCAATCACTGATCGTCTTAATATATAGGAAAGGGTCAAAATCATCCTGTGATAACCATAGGAGGGATTTGTCTGACTATGATAATTAGGAGTAATTGAATTATAGTATGAACTAAGAATCTCAGAAATAACGCAATTGATTCAAGAAGTACTAGACAAGCACTAACGAATGTACTGTATTTAGAAATCGAAATCAATCATTCAACAAGTACAAAGCAATCATTATTTCATTTAAACACCACATCCGCCATAGCTTAAATTGCAGTCTAGGTGTCTGTAATTGATTGCAAGTCTTCTTGCCAAGTTCATCCTGTGTCTGTCCGACAGTGTATTGTATAAAAACTCTGTATTATCTAGAATGCGCTCATTAGTATTAGAAATAACAACCGAAATCGGAACAGACTCACTTGCTTCCTGGGATTGTGTACAATCATCATGTCGGTTGAGTACTGAAACGACTGCTACCTAGAATTTCAACCATAGAATTTCACACTATTCTCCCACACGAAATAATTTCAGATCTTCATATCCCCAAGTTCTGAATAATGTAGCTTCATTTAAAATATCTTCCTCAATTTGACTTGAGTAAACATAGGAAGTGAATTTACGATAAGGACAAACAACAGTTGATATGGAATTATCTGAATTGTAATCAGAATCGAGCTCATCTAATATTCGTGCTTCGCACTGAACAAGTTTCCCATAAGAAAAAAATGCATTATGAGGACAAATATTTGATATGACATCAAGATTTGATTCTTCTGAAATAGTTTCCTCAAATTTATTAAGAATGTCATTGCAAAGTAAAGGATCTTTAGAAAAATCATCATCAATCAAAACTACATCAGATTTTCGATCATGATTAGGTTCATCCGAAATATTTTCAACAGATTTGTAAGAAATTTCATCAGAAATATGTGAATCATCAGCAAAAATCATATCTAGTACAATAACATGAGAAATTTGATATGTTGATTCATTAGAAATCGTTTCCTCGCAAGGATTCTGAGTTTCATTTAACTCTGAACTGCTATATGACTCTAAACTGTTTTTTGAAATGGTCTATAAAGATAAATGATCATTATAAATATTCAACTTAATAGAATCAGAATTACAAGACTTAGTAGTATTACAAACTGACTGAATATCTCCAACATCACATTTAAAGCACTTATAATTACGAAATTTACATGAATCTAAAGAGTGGAACCTGCCACAGGACAAACATTGACCAAACTTGTACCCATCTTCGTGAACTGCATCGCAACTCCTAAACGAATTATCTGTATAACTTTGAGTATGCACTGGGATGGAGTGACGTAATGTAGTGGAACTTTTTATATCCTCATGAATCATGTTACGAAATCTCCCTTTACCGCATTCGAAATTTGTATACTTAGCATAGTCTAGAAGTAGTTCCTTGAGAGTTGTATAAGGAAGAGAAATGGGCTTTTCCGGTAAAGCCGATGAATGTGAGAAAATGTGCCACAATATTAATATTCCCATCATCTTCCTTGGTCAAAGCCCAGATTTCGAACCTTTCAAAGTAATCCTCATAAGCATCAAAATCCGAATGAATATCTAACTGTTCCGTCGCAGGCCTCATCGCGACGCCAGTATGATAATTAGAAGTATTTGAATTATGGTAAGAACTAATAATCCCTGAAATAACGCAATTGAATCAAGAAGTACTAGATAAGCACTAACGAATGTACTGTATTTAGAATTCGAAATCAAGCATTCAACAAGTACAAAGCAATCATTAGTTCATTCAAACACCACACTGACTAAAATAACATCTAAAATACTAGCCCCAATAATTATCGAACGCCTAACAAAGACTCGTGAACTGCAAACACGAGTAAACCAGGCTGGCTTTAGACCTTATCGTGGCTGCATCGACTACATATTCTCTATTTGTCAGGTTTTAGAACGCGGGCATGGTTATCGGTGCCCGACAATTGTGGTCCTTGTTGAGTTAAAATCAGCATTTTACTCTGAATACCGAGAGGTACTTTGGCAGTGTCTGTCATTGAAAGGTGTACCTCAGAAATACATAAATCTCTTTTGTCGTTAATGTATCTTGGTAACTGCCTGGAGGTATTGGTTATAAACTGCTACTAGGCAAAATGTATCGAAAGCCTCTTCTCTTCTGTCCACAACCATTTGAAGGCTTGGAAATTAGACTGAATATTGGCTTGATGCTTTAATTTCACGAAAAGGCATATCAAATCACGACAAGTACTAAATCACTTGGTCAACAATTGAAATTGCGATAGATTTAAAAAGACAAACCAAAGGAATACTGTTTTCTAACTTTTCGCTTGTCGTTAGCATTGAAAGACTAGACCATTGTTACTAGGTCGCACATTATGTTCGTTAGCGCCACCACATTTTTGATCATGAAGGTCACCTAAGAACAAACGGTATCTCCTGTTAATTTTCTTATCATGTTGTTGTGTGGCATAGTTTTTACTTATGTATAAATTTAGTCAAAACTATCACAGAAATCAGATTCTGGTTTGTGCTCTATGGTAATAAAATAAAAGATTAGTGTCAGTTCGTCACTACCATACTATACGCTCCTGAATGTAGCTATAGCATATAAGCTTTTCTTGAAAGTTCAGACAATGATTCGCACGACATTATGCTTGGATGATTGATTATTTTTTCGGAAAAGCTTTGTGCCATGGAGATTTTTGTTTTAGATTGACCTTGTTGGTATACCAACAAGCTCTACAGGGTTCAAAGAAACAAATGTTTCGGCTACTTTAGCTTGGTTAAGTTGTCACAATGTGAAGTACCAGTTATCACACCATGGTACCATATACAGCTGTTTTCAATGAGTAACCAAATATAGGAAAGAACAAGATATATATTGGTATGGGATGACACTAACCTTAATATTTTGAATGGTATAAAAATTGAGCAAATTCGAAACACTGACTAGTTTTAAGCTACGTAATTTGGAGTCTCCAGCCATAGGTCACGACTTACTCCGCAGTTCTAATATTTAACTGCATAGCGCATCCGATAACTTCCGCAACTGTGATGCTGGTCACCCACATCGCTTCCCTATTTTCTCATACTTATTTTCAAAGTATATTACATTGAAATGCTACCGTGCTTGTGTAGCATGTACTGAACACCTGTCGATAATAGTTTACAACCATATAAACCTAGTATCCACACCTTGTGACATAAAACTTGCATGATTATTGAATTGATCCTAACATACTGAGGAAATGTTTTGAAGAGACCCACGATCAAATAATGACAACATGCACATATTTCCTGCTTTAATTGATGCTTTACAGTAAAAACTAAGCCACACCAAACTAAGTTACAAAATGTAGGGCCTGCGATTGGCGGATAAACATCTTGCTAAGATCACAGTCGCAAGTACAAGTGGACTGGGGTTTTTCGTATTCGTGCTAAGTTCCTTTCAGACACAAACCAGGTCTAGTAAGGTTTCTAAACAAGGTGGCTCTAATACTTTGTTTCATGTGGCTAGACTAAGCATTAATACACCTGCCGTATGTCGTCTCATAGATTGTGTAGAACTACGAGTAACAAACTTTATGTATGTACACTAAGATTTCGTCTACCACCAACTCATCAAAGCTGATACGAATATCAAGTTGAGTGAAGTGATCCCGAACGTACTTTACAATCAAATAGACTTCACATAGCACTCACGAAACATCAAATTGTACTGGATTCATGATTAGCTTTCAACTTACTGAAAAGCACGGATAGTTGCAATGTATGGTAATGTCTAGCAAATTTTCCTGTTATGTAGAAAAATACTGGGCTTATAAACACTATTTCAGTGAGCTCCTTAAAACTTGACGCGCGTTGATTTGTGGTAGATTATGGGTTTGAGTGTATGTAAGTTCTCTGCTCGAGAAATCCCATAAAAGCCACATAAAGTATACAGAATCTGGCTGTCAGTATTGTCAACACAAAAGTAGCAGTCAGATTCCATTAGTTAGGTTCAAATCAGTAAGATGTACGCGTTTATGTATTCTTATTTCTTGCCAGTGACACTACTGAGTTATCCAAACGAAAGTAAACATAACAGTGTTCTTACTTGGAAACCAGTAATTAAAGATCGGGCTGCCTTGCTATTAAACCACAGTCTTAGCTATAGCCTCTGCCAGGTAAGTCCTACTCACTGCCTTCTCGTGGCGGGGGTGTTGTTTACGAAAATGAGAGGACGAAAAGCGAATGTCTGGCGCTTTAACCGGATCCAAAACCAATGGTGCACATGGGCTCCAGTATCATGAGGGAACAAATGGCGTATGAACCAATCGTTGGTCACCGGCTACCATGGGACTGCATCTCCTTACGATGCTCCACTGCCTTGTGAGTCAGACGTTCAGGTCGAAGGCTCAGGGTGTGGCTCCCTAAGAAAACCATCTGCTTCGGTTTGGGCACCCGGGCAGTATCACAGCCCTCACACAAATCAATTGAGATTCGTGTGGCGCATATGTATTTGGTGCCTTCTTGTACCGATATCTATGTGTTAAAATAAATAAATAAACTTAGCTATAGAATAAAGTTTAAACGTCTGACGACAAAATAACGTCTTGTGTGAAATATAGTATCAAGATACGGCTTCGGTTTGAGCACTTGGGCAGTATCACAGCCCTCACACAAATCAAATGAGATTTATGTGGCGCATATGTATCTGGTGCACCCTTGTACCAATACTCATGTGCTCAAATAAATAAATAAATAAACTGTTTAGCTTATGTGTTTGAATCTGTCACCTTAGAAAAATTGGGATAGGAACGGAGAAAAGAGTCAGTTTAAAGTGACTAAATAAAAATACATCAAGTGCTGAAGTTATTTTTTATTGCTAATACGAAACAAAGATCTCAAATAATGACTTTCTTTAGAAACTAGAAACTACTTTGTATAGTTATTAATGTAAGACAAAATCCTTTATGATACTTGCACCTGTTTATATTCTTGGTTCATATTTTGACTTGATGTTTTGTGGTCATATTTATTTGTTGAGTAACTTTTTAGGTTTTCTAATTTTACTTTCAGTTTTATTGCTCTCAATTCCACAGCTCATTTACTGAGATACACTACGTTGCCTTTTTGGAATGTACAATACAAAGCATTTTATGCTTACGATTAATTTTTGTTTGAAAGCAGCTCTAATCTCATGATATAGGGAAGTTATACAACAACAAATGGTAGACGCATTTACATGCACTGCTTCACAAGATGTTACAAACAGCAGTTGTGGATTTCGTAGACAGTCTCTCACTCCAGATTTTCAAGCAGGATTTCAACCGTCTGATCAAATGCAAGAACAAACATCATTCGACGTAACGGGTCGATGCAACATACATGCTCATATAGAAGGCATTTCAAGAAGTTACATCCCTACTTATGTACATTCAGATTTCGTCCACGGGATTGATTCCATACCTTTTGTACGATCATGTCCGAATATGGGTGATTATCATGCATTCGAAAATGTTAATAATAGTCATTCAAATAGATTATTTAGTAGCCAGTTCCTGACTTCGTGCCCACCTGCTATTCCTGAGGTGCAGTCGGATCTATCTCAAGACGAGGAAGTTTCTCGTCCATGTTGCTTCTGCGCCCCAGTCATACCAAAAACACACTGTGTTGATATTTGCTGTTTTAAATCAAAGTGTTTGCTTCCAACTGTTTCACCATGCTCACCTGACGCTCTTTTCTGCCTACTTTTCACTGGGCCCTGCAAATGTCCCTTGTTTTCTTTCCCGCGTCACCGAGTAACTAATGAAAATCTTATAATTCTGAGCATAATTCAGTTGTTATGCGGTTTCGCAGCTATCGTCCTCTCGAGTGTTGCTTTCACCAAGGCGGTCTTTTTATATCAGATGGCTACAGGATTATGGGCTGGAATATTAATGGTGGTTACTGGATTTCATGGTCTTCTTGCTGCTCGTCGCCCTATTGTATGTGCCTTAGTAGGGTTGCTAGTACTGTGTATGGTTGTAAGCTTGTCTGCGTGTGTTCTCATTTGTGTTTCTGTGGCTGGGACAATAGAAGATGGTTTTCTTAGCAGTACTGTTACACGGAAAGGGTTTTCACGTGAACTTACAAAATTTTCATCAAGTCACCGCGAAAACAAAACTTTCTCCCAAAGGCACGACCCGAAGTTTGCAGTGGCGGCGTTGACAACCAGAACCCAGGATTGGTCTGATTTACAGCTTTCGGACTTTAAAAATGTCCTACGTGAAACATCTGATACCTACTTGCGCACATGCCAAGTTATTTTGCACCTTCTTTTGTTGATAGTCGGTATTCTAGAAGCATCAGTCAGTCTCGCAACATCCATTTTGTGTTGTCGGTGTGTTTGCTCAAATTCTCTTAATTTGCGATTTCAAAATTCACGTTCATTACGTACTAATATAGTGTCATTCAATGCTGCTACAGCTAATCAAGCAGCATCTGTGCTTCGATCAGGTGCAATAAACGACTTTGTTGGTACTGGTAATGTACTATTAGCCCTCGATTCAAATGTACATACACGAAATTATCCCATCAGTAATGCCAATGAAGTAGTTCGTAAGCCACAAATCCACCATACATTAATCCCTTTTTTATCAGAGTTGAATCGTCACTCATTAATTCTCACACAAGCAGGTACTGGTACAGTAGCTTTATCTGCCGCTCGTGCAGCTGCCAACCTATTCGATTCAGAGAGCTTCGAAACTCAAGATCGAACTTCAGTTTCTTGCTCTTCCAGCAATGAACAGTCCTCTATTCGACAACCTGGTACCTTTAGTAGATCTATATTTCGTCGTCTTAAAGGATTGCGTCTTATTCGCCCTAGTGAACCTCGTCCTCGTCTTCTGTATACAACTCTCCAAGTCCCTATAAATGTTTCCAATGCCCCCAATTCTTCATCTAATCCACCTCCGTTCTCATCTTCCACTACGATTGTTTATGTGATGCTTTCACCTACACATGAAGAACCACCTATGATATTTCCTCCCTTTCCTCCTAGTTACAATGAGTCACAAAGGAGATCTGGTTTGGGTGCAACTGTTACCCGCATTCAGCGGAATCAGCGTATGACGTTTCAGTCGAACCCATCTCGTCGCTATAGGAGACGTTCAGCTGGGATATCTCGTCCTCGTTTTCATTCATCAATACGTTCGCGTTTGTCACGACTTTTATGTCGGAATGCATCACATCAATCTAATCTCAGAATTAATAACACATCTCGACATTCTAGAATGCAGTGCCACCTGTCTAGGTCTGTCGCTTCTGCTCCGATTTCTTTTGGTGACCGATTCATCCAACCTGTTCTAATAGTTGGGGACCCACCTACAATCAGACCTACAGAAGAGCCACCTCCCAAATATTCTATATAAACTCTAAGATGTCAGATATCGGTTGTAAGTTATCATTCTCCTTGTGCAAATCTACTGCATTCCTATTTAATCTTTGAGTCAGCATTTCCTGATTTATAAAAGCTTGTGATTATATGCATAAGTATTTGCCATTACTAGTCTATTTTGTTTTGCCTTTTTGTTACTTAAACGTTTGTTACTACCTTCAATTCAAATGAGAACATGTTTTTATTTGAACAAGATTATTACTTGTCGATATTTTAGTTACTTTTCAAATCGTCTAATTGGTTCATATCTTAATTGTATATTTAAAATGTCGATATTACTTCTAAATTATATTGTTGATATAACATCTTTCACTAAAGCTTTTTTATCTTTTCTCATCGTTAGTAAAAATAATTATGTATAGCTGGTGGCAAGGTAAATTGGTGAGTATCCATTATATTTGTTTTGTGCGCCAAATTGAGAAAAACTAAAATTCCAGCAACCAGATACAAGTTCTTGCATTCTACTTTGAGGCGTATTTTCTGTGAAGATTAAAGCTGCCAACGGAACGTCCTAACCGAAGTATATGTTACTAGGTTTGAGCTTGTGTCTGTTGTAACTACTCAATCTTAGCTCTATGGTTTTGTGGGTAGTAAGTTTCAACGTTCTGACAAGGTATTCTCATCAATTCTCAACCGGCGTAGTGCTTTATTCTTGTGATTAACTTTCTCATTGGTCGTATTATTAAGTACACTTACTTTTAAGAAGTAATTCAGATCAAGGATAATTATGATTCTTCAATTACCAGTCCATTTGCCTACCATGCTTACATTTAATTACATAATATCAATAATGAAGTATTACTATCTCAACAGTTGAGATGTTTTACTGTTAAGAAACATTTCTTAAATGGTTTTTCACATTGTGACCTGTTTATTAACCCACATCAGATCATTCATGGGTTCCACCAATAAAGCGGCTTTTGTTTGATACACTACTCTACGTAATAGTTGCATGTTACTTTATTTTAGAACCTCTTAGGAGATTATATTTGAAGTACAAAATCTGCGTTCACACTGGAGAGATCGTATCATATAACTTGCCTAACTTACTAGTTGAGTCGCAAAGCCCAGCTGATAATCAGGTCTCACATCAGTTACTCAGTGTCGTGCTAGCTGCCATGTGAATAAAAGCTGCACAGTTGTACGCGGTTTATAAAACTAGCCGCCTGGCATATTTTTTTTCCACCTCAGTTGAGCTAAGTTAAACGACTGAGTTGGTTCTGTTGTCGCTAATATAATGTGAATAATTGTTTAGACCTGTTGCGAATTTTCAAATTAATAATCTATACGAAATTATACTTACAGGAGTAGTCTCTTTCACTAAGGAAACGTTTCCAGGAGGCTGTTGTATCTTTGTATATTACAATGCAAACTGTTTATTGGTGTATTTGCGGTGATACATTTGTTACAAAGACGTTTAATTTTTTTGGAGGGGGGGGGCTAAAACATCTATCAGTTTACTAGTCTATGTCAGTGTACACTGTACTGTATAAGGCATTTGTCATAAGCACCCAGAAATATGCTATTTACTTTATTCCATTCTAGAACTTTTTTCAAAACAACCTGTCCCAGTACTCACTACCTTAGTGAACCTTTGGAAATCATCTAGAAGTCAGTCTAGTATTCTTTAGGTATAGCAAATGAGTTAACCTTTTGCACAATGAGAGTTAAAGCATGACGTTTTGATATGAACCGTTAGAATAATATTCATCCCGTTATAGAGTGCGCAGACCTTCAAGTTAATTTCAACAGTTTCATACCATTATTTCTCGATAGAACCTCATGGATTCAGGATGTACTTTGAGAACTTAAGACTAATTTTTTTTAGTTAGTTAATTCGAAATAGAATAAAATAGGGCAGCTTCATCTGCGCTTAATCTCGCTAATGAAGTTTAGGAAGCGTTATAACGGAAGAAAAATCTAATCATTTACCAACAAAGACGTGAAGTACCGAAAAACAAGGATTCTCCGTAATTTTTCCTTATCAACGTTGATATATAATTATAAACAAATGCGAAATCTGAAAGTAGTACATTGTCAGAAACATGATATCCGTAGAGGTTATTTCCATTTGCTTGTAAAAGTCTATCATGTATTGATTAAATTTAGCAAGAACATATGAACCGATAAATTGCATAACCAGGTCAGCTGTAACATTCAAATTATTCTACCAGTAAAAAGTTTTGGTCAGTGTATGTATACATTTTCTACTAACCCAGTAGTATACTATACGTAAAACTAATTGTTTTATTTGTTATGCTTTCATTCATTTGACATGCATCACCTTAATGATAACGTAACTTCAAACTAAATCATGTGCAAACTGGTTTTCACAATGTTCACTATATTTTATTCCTTAAATTACGTGTAGAAGTGAATAAAATAACCATTTTTATTGTTTGTGCTTCTAACATTGATGTGAATAAAACTATTATCACCTAACTTGACTACTCGAGTAAAATATGATGTTATAGGAAAATAATATCTTGCTGATAAAACTTGAAAAACATTAGCTTTTATCTGGTTTTTAGTCATTTGGTTGATGAAAATTTGGAAAAGTCTATAATGACGATCAATTTTTACCATATATTGGTCTTCGATTGTTTTATAATGTCGATTAGCTTCTTAATGTAGGCAGTTGTTCAGTATCATGATAGTTATATTACAACTGGCTGTCATGATAATCCAATTGGTAAGACTCATTGGTTCCCAATAAGCAAATCTAATTAATTTGGTCATACGCTTCTATTTACTAGGTCTATTTACATCAGAGCTCTATTGATTCTTTTTCATCTGATAACTGATTAACAGACTTATGAGATCCAGATAGTTTGGTGTGGTGTTTGTATGAACTAATGGTTCTTTTGTACTTGACGACTGCCTGATTTCGAATTCCAAATGCAATACATTCGTTCATGCTCATCTAGTTCTCTTTGGTCTAGAATACGCTATTTTGCGGATTCTTAGTTCGTATAATAATTCAAGTTCTGTGATATTTGACCTTGGCCATATATCTTGATATGAAAGTTCCTGTTAGCTCCTTCGACCAAGAGATTTATGATCGGGTACTGACATTAGAACAAATGTCCTGCGAGTGTGGTGCGTGCTACTGATGTCGACAGACATAAGTAATATGTATCATCAATCGAAAGTGAAATGCCTGGCGGCAGAAGGTCAAGATCGAAGAAAAGAGAACGAGAATGATTGGTGTGGAAAAGAAAGAACAATGAAGTTTTAGACGATTGATTAGCATTTCGCAAATGAGATATTTACTGTATGGTTCTCAAATTTTACTAATACGTTCCGTAATTTCGTATTCAAGTACATTCGATCGTCCTCACTTGTGTTCTCGTTCACTACAAGTAGTTTACATCACGGTGGTTTTCCTTTACTCAAGCACTTCTGATTGTACCACAGACTAATTTATTCTAACATAAAGTAATGTGTATAGCCTTCGCCAGGTATGAATGCTACTTTTTTCATTTAGTAAATACACTTGACAGTTCTTCAACATTGGTTTCCTACACCAAAATCCAATCATTGATTTAGAGTATGTAAAAAACAATCCTAACAAAATTTAATCGTGGATTGATTGATGTTAAACACTAACACCATTGGATGCCGGCTCAGTGGTCCAGTAGGTTGAGCGTTCGCGCGCGAGACTGAAGGCCCTGGGTTCGTGGATGCGCGCTGCTGAGTTCCACAATAGGACGAAACGACCGTCCAGTGCTTCGGTCGGTTCATGATTTCAATCAGAAAATCTAGTCTTCTGATATGGTATCGGTAATTCAATTGACTGATTGCTAATGTAGTTAGTGTGTAAAGAAGCTAATTTCCGTAGTTAGACGAAAGAAAAGTCGTAGTCAGTAGTTGAAGACTAATAAAACAGCTGGAAATCGGTTTGATCATCACGTCGTATTGGCGAGTTAGTATTGTATGCACTAAGTTCGATGAGACTGCTTTCATTAGGTGGCTTTTGACTTGAGCATGTATAATTCTAACCCAAAAAAATTTATACACTCTCGAATAATTGATTAATTAGACAGTTACTTGAAGATTTCAATACATAAAGCTCTTCATAGTAAATCTTGCAAACTGTCCTACATACTGCTTGAGCAATAACCTATAATGAATACAAACATTTTGTTGAGCTGTAAGTAGGCTTTATCATAACTATTCTTGGACGTAAAACTAAAGCACACCAATTTGTTCAAACATCAAAATGTATAACATTTAATAAATGACATCCCCAATATATATTAATCATACCAAAGCACACCAAAAACGGTAGTCTGTTATTATGTTAAGCCTATATACCTTATTCTAGCTTTCGGACAGCTCAATCTATTCACTCTACTTGAGTCATATTTTGGCTTTGTTAATTATTCGCTTATCAATCTTGACTGTTTTTATATGAGCGCGTAGGTGTGTGTACACTTCATATCCCATTACTCATCACATATCTGTAACTTACTTTTGTGTAACTATAAATATTCATTAACGCTTGACTAAAGGGGAGTTGGCTCACACGCCTTCTCCACCGCAAGTCATTTTTGCTTCGCCTTCTTCTCTTCGCATCATTTCCCCGTTCGTTTGTCTGATCAAAGATTATACAAAATATATGTATCCAGAAGTCCCTTCTCGTTATTTGACTTATTTAATTCCGTTATTGACAAACGCGATTTAAGTCGATGATTATATACGAGGATAGGCGACATTTATATTTCAATCACAATCATTCATACGATCAGATTATGCATAGTAAGTGTGATATACCTAATATCTGAAATCAGTTCAGAATTCATCATCAATGTTAAATGGAAGCTCAATGAAAAACAAATACATAATTTTTTAGGTATCATTACCAAGGTTCGATTTGATAATTTCCAATAAATTGAGCATTGGGTAGAATGTTATAAATAAATATTTTTAATATTCCAATGAGTAGTAAAATTAGATTTTCTTACGTTTCGT